CTGCCTAGCTATAGATTATTGATTTATTCGAATTTTTAAAAACCATTATATATTTACAAACCAGGATGCTTTTGGTGTGTTAAAAGGCTTTTGAATTGTGAGAGATGTTCCATCATGAGTTTATAAATAATTCAACTCAATAGCATTCAATGAAGAGAGCTTTATTTTTGGATCTTGTATGGAGATCACAGTCTGAACTGGAATAAACAGAATATTGGCCTAAATATAAGATGTTATTTAGAACACTCTCGAGACATTATGATGTAATTGTGTACTGAGGCAGAGAAGTGTTAGTCTACATTTTATTACATATCCATTTTAGTGTATGGCAGTATGCCAGGAAAATAAAAAGCAAACTTTTAAACTCAAGGTACTTTCTCCCTTGTCAACTTCCTTTCCATCTGTGACTGTGTTTGGAATGAGAAACCCAAGGTTAGTAGTTCACCAACTCATCTTCAATTCAGGTGGTCTGCCAGTCTTTCTTGGACCTCAAAACCCCAGCATCTGCATCCAGAACCATCCAAGAGCCTGAGGATCCATTGAAGCTTTCAGCTAATGTCACACATTACCTCCTTCCTCCCAACAATACATAGTGTCCTCTTACCTCCCCCTCACCCCCCATCTCTGTGCCATCAAGAGACCGACTTCTGGGGGGTCATATCTGTCAGGGGACTTTTGTTTCTACATGCCTGCCTGTTCTTCAGAAACCTATTCTAGTCTCCAATTACACTTCACATTTACATACTTCTTTTCACTTTTCCTTGTATTTTCATGTATTTACCCTCATGAGGGACTTTCTGTTTCCCGGAGAATAGGCTTGGCAGGCAGTGTTGTTTTATTATTAAGAGTGCTGTTGCTGGAGATATTAATGACTTGCCCAAGATGCCAAGGAAAACTTCAGAGCTTGTACTTTAGTCTTCATTGTTAGAATCCAGTTCCCTTGGCTATTCATTGTAATGCTTTTAGAGAAAAATTTTAAGAGAGGTATAATCTAGTGACAGAGAATGCAACTTTATTATAAAAATATATATATGTATATGGGTGTAGCTATTAGGAGCTTTGTCTAAATGAGGCAGCTCTTTTTGCCCTGTCCAGCTAATAGATGAGAACACCTGTGAAGAATGCCCTTTGGTACACAGAAAAATTAACGTGCCTCAAAGGGGTCTAGGAAAAACCTTTTTCAGGGAAGGTTCCATAGTACATACTTCATAGAATCTCAGAGCTGGAAGAGACCACACAAGTCATCTGGTTCAGCAGGTGTTTGGTGGTTAAATCCTTGGCTAGATCCCATTTGAATCCTCGAGGGCTCACAGAATGGTTTTGAGGAACAATCCTTATTATACATGGTGCTTCATGGCCTAAAAAACGTTATGTTCTACCAAACTAACTGAGATGTTGGCTATCCAAAAGAAAAGTTTCTTTCTTTGGTCATCAGGATATTTGAAATGTTGTATTTGAAACATTCCCCTTAGAATTTGTTATGAAAATTGCATATTTAGACATTTGTTTAATGCTGTTGTTTATTGGAATGTAACTTTTTCAGTGTGACTAAATGATGATTGTTTTTCTTTTTTTGTGTTCCTCTGTCTTTATTTACAAGCTAGACACCAGTTTCTTCCAGAATTGCTAACCATTTGTGTATGTTTGGTTTGTATAACATGCACAGGGCTTCACGTGAATGTTTTCAGGATTTTTTTCTGGTTTAGCCAGAGGTTTTGAAGAAGAGAGGGAGAGTTAGAGATTAAATTTTTAGTGTGAACTAATAGAAGACATATAATAAATCTAAGGTACGTGAAAATTTAATAAGAAGCAATAACTGGAGCTGGTTGTTTTCCCTCTTTGCCTTCGAATGGAAATGCAGGCCCCGGGGGATGGAGTGTCGACACCTGTGCTAGAGCATCACTTAGCAAATTGCACTAAAAATCTCTTTCTTGAGCCAGTGTTTCTTAGAATTTAAGGCAAAAGTATATGAGATATGTATAATTATACCCTGTTGTTGGTGCTTGCAGCTTTGACTTCTGTCCTAGAGTCATGGGTCATGCAGTACTGTGGCTGGGAAAGTACTTGTGGGAAGCTTAACATTTCATTGGGTTTATGTATTGTGGTTGCGGCGAACTTGAGAACATGACATTAGCAAATAGAACATTTATTATAATCCCTTGGGAAAGCTTAGATTCTACTTTACAAATTTGCACCATAAGTGGAAATGAATTTTTGTTTTTCACCTATAAAGGCTCACACAGTCTTTTTAGTTCCTATTTAATGCTGAACCTTATGTATAGACCCAAACAGTTCCAAGGAGAGGCTTGACAGTAGGTGTGTGCGGTGTTGCTCCATTACAGTTGTCTCTTCTGTCTGTGGAGCTTCTCAGTGGCTTCGCTGGTCCCCCGCAGGGAGTGGAGGAAGGATAATCTGAGAGGGTCAAAGGGTAACATTTCCCCTCTACATTTTTCATAGAAAGTCTGAGACAGGTGAAGTAGAGTAGAAATATGACCAGGGAACCTATAATTTGCAAATTTTTAAAAGGTTTCCATATACAAAATTTTAGGCTTTTACTTGTGTGTGAGTGTTTTAAACCCTGTGGAGTAACCACAATAGGTATTATTGTCCCCATTTTAAAGATCAAGGGAAGCAAGTCTGAGTCATGGGTTAAGTAATTTTCCCATTGTCACCTGACACAGTGCTGTTGGGGCTGGAGCCCAGATATTAGGATTTGACGTTCATTTCCTCAGATACTTTCCCCTTGAGCCTAGCGGCCATACATTTTCAGTCTTTCTGCGTAATTTTCAAGTGGCAGCTGGAGAGGTCAAGGCAGTGGCACTGGCATCTGTGTGGCAGGTGGAAGGTGAGATGTCCTTAGGAGCAGAGCGGGTGGACAGGCCTTCACATGATTTATTCGCTTGCTCCTTGCCACTCCCTTTGTGAGTCACCTCGGCTGTTTTTCCCAAGGTTCGTGACCCATTGAAATTCTTCCTCATATTTCCTTGCTACTGCTGTTTTCTGCTCACCAGTCTTCCTGGTACTGGAGACCATGTCTGGCACAGGAACTCCTAGCAAGAATGATTGTTCACGCTTCTCTGGAAAAAGAAAGTAAAAGTTAAGATATGGTATCTAAATTGTAGTCAGTTGTCAGGGAAGAGTGACTTAAGAAGACCCCTGCTCCAGTTTTTTTTATTCACCAGTTCATACTAAATCATTTTTTGTTCCCCAATTTATGCCAAGTCAGGAGCACTTTTCTGTGTCTTTAAACATCATTTGAAAATATTTTTCATGATTCTTCATCTTTCTGTTGCATAAATTTAGCATAATTTATGTGTTCTTTTATTTTGGATATTTAGGTTATTTTCTAGTTTCTTCTTCTATGAGCATCATAGAAAAAACTTGACTCCTTGGAGAACCGGAACTGTTCAGTAGTTGAAGATATGCAAATCTGGTTTAAATGGTTTGTTTGCCCAAGTCATTGATTCATTAGTACATTGTGACAGTAATTTCAATCGGGTAAATACAGAATTATTTTTCTGAAATACAATTTTGATATCAGTTTTATTTTCAGATAGGGAAAATAAATAAAGATGGTCAATAGGTCAATAAAAGGAATAGATTTTACAGTTGTATTATCGGTATTCTCACCATAAAATTTATTTGGTGGTTCAGCTTTTATAAAAGGTTGGTGCAGAAGCAGTGTTTTTAATGTAGCAGGTTGATACCTAAATGTGTAAATTTGAATGATCCAAACCCTGTTATAAATAATGATCACTCTGTAACAGTCATTAATTCATCGACTAGTTTATATATATTTTGGGGTATCTTCCTCAAACAGTAAGCTTGATTTTTTCCATCATGCATATAGAAAAGAACTGACTAATTATGAGCAAATGAGGAGAAATTGAGAAGCCAACTCACAGATTTCTTAAGAGCTTTATCTTCTGAAACTATGTTCTTCAATTTCCTGTGGGCATGTGCAAGGGGTTGGGAGGGAGGAGGTAGGAATTAGAGATTTTTGTAATGGTGGTAGTTCCTCTTCTACCTTCTAAGTCTGACTCACATCTCCACTCACCGCCCATGATGCAGGTGCAGCAGGCAATGAGTAGGTCAAGTTTGTCCTTGGTTTTTTAAAAAGATATTTGTTTGTTTTTTTTTTATAGAGAGGGAAAGGGATGGAGAAAAAGAAGGAGAGAAATGTTGATGTGAGAGAGGAAAATCGATCAGTTGTATCTTGTACACACCCTGACTAGGGACCAAACCTGAAACACAGGCATGTGCCCTTCTTGCTGGGAGTCAAACTGGCATCCTTTCACTTTGCGGAATGATGTCCAACCAACTGAGCCACACTGGTCAGGGCTGTCCTTGGTATTCTTCCTCTTCTCTTCTCTGGGTTCCTTTTTTCCTATGAGTTTCTTCTTTACTCAGATTCTATTCAAACCTCCTCATCACAACATTCATCAAGGCCTATGGTTTCAGAAAAGTCTCATTCTCCCTAGTTGTTTTTGAAATTGCCTCTTCCAGGTGTATTCACTGTTAAGGATGCTCCTGGGTAAGTCTGTGCTTCACTTCCATGTTGTTTCTGTTTGGCTGGGTCAGCACTAGGGTCACAGTTCTACTTCTGGGCAAACTTTGAGAGAGAGGACCACTACATAAAAATTAAACTGGGAACTCACACAAGTTTTTTTTTTTAAAAAGGAGAAAGAAGGCTTTTGCCTTTCATACAAAAGAATGTTTCGTCTTTTCCCAACCTATGGTGGATAAAATGTGAGAGCACAGAAATTTGACTTGTTGCCTTGAATAAACTCAGTATTCTTAGGATACAGTCATGCAAAATTGCCTATCTCTGCATTCTTCCCAAAGTGATGGCTCTTAGTATTCACACTCATGATAACTTATGTTTCCCGAGCACATGAGCCCCAGGACTGCCACTTAAGGAAGAAGAGGCAGTGGTGGTTTTGTAATCTCTGTGCTACTGTAACACGGTGGGTAATTGTCTTTTTTCCCTTAACTTCTAGTGCCTGAAACAGTACATGCAGCTGGCAATCCGAGACGGATGTGGGTCTCCTATCACTTGCCCTGACATGGTGTGCCGAAACCACGGGACCCTGCAGGAAGCCGAGGTACAGACAAGGGCTGTGATCTTCCCCTTTCCTCTCAACACATCACTTAGGATCTTCTCTGTGTGCTTCCCGAACAGGGAGTCTAGAAACAAAAGACAGACGTTAACTTTTTAAAGAAGTACTTCATTGCTACACACCTTTGGATTCTTTAGACAAACTGTTAAATCTGTTATTTACCTCAGTTCTATTTATAAATACTATCTGAGAGCTGAAGAGGCTTTAGAATAGATAGGCAAAGGTGTGGAAATCAGATTTACCACATGTGAGGTTTGTAGCCTGAATAGTGAGTGGTCTTGTGATCTTTTTTACTTTAGAGATTAATAGACAAGAGATTAGCCACAGCTATAGACAGACCACAAACTGGCATTTGGGTCTACGAAGGTAGCCTGAGTTGAACCATTTCTAAAGAGCAGAGAAAGGCCTTTCGTTTTATTTTTATCAGGCATCAGAAATGCCTTTTTTTTTTTCAGTAAGTTCTTCCACCATCTTCTTAAGACTGTGATATATCTCTTTCCTTTGTTTCTTCAATCCATGAGCAGTAGCTTGCCCTTCCATCTGCTTTTAATCTTCAGAGCCTGCTCACTGTAAGTCAGAAAATAACCAAGTCTTGTCCATTGATAGGGAGTTGGTGTCTCAAAGAAGTCCCAAGAGACAGCTGAAATAATTTATTTATTCAGCAAACACAGCACTCCTGCTGTATATCAGGCGCTGTCCCTGTGCTCTCATAGCCAGTATACTACCTAATACTTTCAACAAATGTATAAAACGAGGCCCAGAGGGTTTAAGCAATTTGCCCCAAAGGACATGTTTTAAAAAGTAGTAAGAGCTAGAAATCTAACACAGTTCTTTCTGACCATCATAGTTAGATGGCTCTAAGAGTGAAATTAGGTAATAGATAGACTGTGTGATAAAGGACTTGATCATTGGAAGCTGAATAGTGCACACATGTGTATGGATATATATATATCTGTGGGTTATGTATGTGAATGTATATATGTATGTGTATAGGTATATACATGCTTCATTTACAAATATATATTTGTATACAATTTTTTGCTCTAAGCAAAGCAGGCAAAAAGATGTTACTAGACCACTTCTAATCGATGTGCCTCTGGATGTCCTGTGTTCAGCTTATGGAATATCAGCTAAGTGGTACAAGTGAGCTTCCAGGTTTTTTAGGGAAGAACCAAAGGAATACATAATGATTTAGAAGTGATTCATTTCAGGAAAAACACAACATAATTGTTTTTTTAATAAAATTGTAATATTCAGTATGTAAAGTGAGAAATATTGCTTGCTTTTGTGTGAGTAATGGGCAGGAGGAAATTAACATGGGGAAAGATCAGGTTAGTCACCAAGAATGCTATTGAGCAACCCAGAGACAGTTTCTAAAAGGAGATTCAGGTATTGAGGAGCATGTTTCTCTGCAAAATCCTTCCAAGAAAGATGCTTCCTTTTTGACTTCTGATGCTTGATTAGGGAACAAGGTTTGCTTTAGAGCGCGCACTGCGCTGGGCCCCAGTGTGCCCCAGGGCACAGAGGCGAATGAGGCAGGCCTGGTGCTGTCATGGTGGCATCTGATCTAGCAGCGACACTGAACTGATTGGAAAAGTGAAGAGCATTACACAGAATCTGCATCAAGAGCTGTGTCTCCTATGAAATCTTAATTCATGTATTCAAAATCTATTAAATATAAATGTATAGTTTGGTGAAGCTTTAAAGACAAGCCTTTGAAATTAATCACAACTCTGTTCTACACCTGTGCTGCCTGAGCCAGTAGCCACGAGGTTCACATGGCTATTTCAATTAAATTAATTAAAATTAAACAAAATAAAAAATTCATTACTTTAGTTGCACTAGTCACATTCCGAAAGCTCAGTAGCCACATGTGGCTTGTGCCTCCCAGACTGGACAGTACAGAATAGGACATTTCCATCACAGCAGAAAGTTTGGTCGCATAGTGTCATCCTGGACAGTTTTATATGAGCAGTTAGCCTCTGACACTTGGGATATTAGATGTTAGGGCCGATCTGTTTGGACGAATGAGTGAAGGCCATCATTGGTTTCACTGTTCTCTAGAACAGAGCTTATTAACTTGTCTGTTTTCCTCAGTATAGACATTTTCTTTTCATGTTCCCTGCAGTTGTCCTCTGCTTTGTAGTCCTTCCCTTTCCGCCACTGTACCCATTCTCATTCATGCTTTCCTAGGTCTGATTCCATTTACGCAGTTTTACTCTGAAAACAAGTTCACTTGAGGGCTGTGTTACAACCAAACAAACCCATGGTGACTCTTAAAAACTACAAGAGGATATTTGAAAAAAAAAACAGAACAAAAACATGGTATTTATTAAATTCCCCAAAGTCTGTTTCTCATTAGATGAGTAAGAAGTACTCCAGGGTGTTATTTCTGTCCTTATTGGTCTTGCTGAGCGCATGACTGAAGGTGGGCAGGAATGTACAGTAATTGTGTTCTTGACCAACTTGCAATATTTTTTTCAAAGTAAAAAAAAATGTGATGGTGGTGGTGGTGATTGTCCCCATTTTGAATTGAGAAATGGATAGAAGATTATGATGGAGATATCAGTAGCGTCTTTAGTCTATACAGGACTATTCCATTCAAAGCAAATACCATACACACACATGAACTTGGCCTAATACCACCTTCGTTCCTGACTTGCTTTACATCAGGCTTTTCTCCTATACAGTTATTATTATAATATGGAGCTCTTGATCTAAATATTATTGAATATATCACAGTGGGGCTTTTCCACTTCATGCTTGACTGGATTCTGTCTCCATGACTACTTTTCTGCCTTTAAAAAACTGTTGAATTATACAGCTAATACATAACTGTACTTTGCTTACTAAAAATATTTTTTGGTTAAAGATTAAGTTCCCTTTGTCCTGCTGCTATTTCTTTATAATATATGGTTCTTTATCATTTATTGTCTTATGAAATGCTTGTAAGTGTAACATTTCTTCATCTTCAAAGAACACAAGGAGTTTAAACTCTTTCCTGTGAATGCTTCCTTGCGTGGGTCTAGTTTATGCCATTGACTGTGCTCTGTCATGTGCTGGCTTTAGGTCCTGCCTGCCCTCTTACTGTTTCCAGATTGGTTCAGCTGTGGCTCTGCCTCGTTGACCAGGAATAGTTTCCTCAGCAAAGCATTTGATGCCCAGTTGCAATACTATTTGCTCATGTAGGAAACAGTAGAGAAGGCAGCTTCCCCTTCAGTGTCACGGAAGCTGCAGGGAGGCTGTGCCTCTGGAGGACTTGTGCCTCTGGAGGTGCTCCGCTCGGAGCCAGGGAAACGTAACGCTTTCCTTCCTCCCTTGTGTCATCTGGTACTTTCCGCTGTGGCTCTCTGGGGTTTTTCTGATATACTTGATCCAGGGATCTTGCCCAACATGTAATTATGAAAGGCAGGACACAGATGGTTTGTTCTGATAGCATTACTTCAGTCAAGGCCTTTGCTTGGAGTTAATAGCCTTGTTAAAAAGGCGATGACTGCTTTAAGCAGTTTCCTTACAGTCTTAGGGAAGGAGCGTATCATCACTTGCTGGGAGAGCCTGAACCACTGGTCTGGGTCAGGTAAACTTTGAGTGCTGGGCACGTGACTCATTTGAGTAGTACCTACCATGATGTGGCCTGAGAAACTGAACAGTAGAAAGTAAGGAACAGCATCTCTCCCATTAATTGACCTTTCAAGCCCTGGGGCATGGAAGTAACCAGTCTGCCTTTTACTGCTAGTGCCACTGAATGCACCAGAGGAAGGATGGGTGCAGCTGGTCTTGCCAAGAATGGGGCTCCAGAATTCTATAGGAAAGGATTGAGGATGGGGCACTGTGGAAGACTAGGAGAGGGGGATACTAAGGGATGGGGGTGTAGGACTAGGGAATTCGAAGCTGCATTTGCAAAATATACCCAGTTTTTACTCATATTGCATGTTCACTGAGGGTAGCTTTGGTAAAGGCTGCTGGAATTACATTAGCACTGCCTCTTAGCACTGACCCTTAGCACTGCCCCTTAGCAGTGCCTCCACTTGCCATATCTTACCACTCTTTCTTCCCATTATCACAGTGCAAAGCTGGCGTGGAGGAAAGAGGAGGATGTCCAGGGAAAGTGGTCATATTCCTGTTACTGTGGTTTCAGGATGTGAATGGGAAGGGGTTGAGTCTGTCTGTAGTGATAGCCTTTGTCTGCAACATATGCTGCCTGGGGAAGAATGAAACTTTGAAGTGGAAGGAATAAAGGACTCTTCTATGCCAGAGTTAATAGGTATTTTCAAAGTTCTTACCTGAATTTTGTTCTAGAACATTTTTTAAAAATCTGTTTAAAAACTGCATGTAAGTGGGGAATAATGTTTCTAAGCTGCTTGTTTAACTCAAGGCAAATGTAAGAAGACTAAGCAGCAGTGGGCTGGCCGTGTCACATGGGTGTGCACACAGGCAGGTCCCCTCTACCCTGGATGAGCTGAGGGAGGAAGGGCAGGCAAAGGTGTGGGAAGCCGCACCTACGCCCCCGTAGAAGGGGTGGGAAAAGAACAGCAAATGCAGCCCTCTGCAGGGAACTGTGAAAAGATTGCTGGCTCTGGAATCCCACGTCTCCCCCATCCTTCACTTTTCCAGCGGCCCTGCCATCTGGCTCTCAGACAATGACGTTCTCTTGTTTATTCAGCCAGGATTTGAGTGAGGCGTAGTATGTAGGTAAGGACATGAGTTTGGTTTATTATACTCAGGTGAATGGGTAAATGTGCCATTTTCTTTCTTCAGTTGGGAAATACAGTCCTTATTTTCTGTGCTGAGATGGGAAACATTCTTAGTTTCTGTAGTGTTGTGATAAGGCACTTATCCATAAGGCTAGTACTGTTTTTCTTGCCAGCATTTTTGCAAGTCATAGCACCTCTCAAGATCTGCCAAAACCTTGACATGCTGTAATGATCTACTAGAGGCCATTCCATCTCCAGATATAGTGATCTCTTGTATTTCATGCCCAGCCT